TGCCACATGTCGATGCGAGGTCGGTCTCAACCTTCCAAGATGGATGATTCTCGAAAGCAAAAACAAGGACACTTGACACATGTGTCTATCCCACCCAAGACAGCGGAGCACGCTTCGTTTCCGCTCCTCACCACCTGCAGTGCATGTGCTCCACATTTTTCACCTCGCTCCAGCGCCGCCGCGGCGGACGCGCCTCAGAGACGGTCGAAAAAGGTGCCCAAACCGCTGAGACCGGGCGGAGACGGGTGTGGAGCCCAGGCCACGAGGGATCGTCAGGTTGCTTTTTTCTGGGACAAGAGGATATCAATAAGGTGTGTGCCAGTATGTCCCAGTAACAATTGACAAAAAGATTGTCACCGTTTCTGGGAAGGACGTTTAATGTTTGATCCTGATTAGTAAAAGGGATCCCCCTCCCCACCTAAACAAATGAGAGGGCCTCTATAATAAACTACCACCAAAACAAATCTGGTAGAATTCCTTTCGCAATTGATTGTAGTATTCATTTTCATTTCTTTTCAACCCATAAAGGATTAATTAAATAATTGATGGCTTGGGGAAGCGGTCAGTTTTGAAGAAGAACTAGAGAAACCATGAGAAACCTACAATTACCAATAGTACTCTCAGCAAGCCAGCCATTGGCTTCGTAGTATTAAGATATACTTTTTACTTTTTACCAAGGAAGAAGCTTTGCGCAATTGAGGACCCTTAAAACAACTCTATTGTTGAGGATCAAGGGCCTTTCTGGTCTACTACCTTGAACATTTGTTTAGGAGCAGCCTTTACATAAAAGGATTGATTAAGTAATTGATGGCTTTGGGAAGCTGTCAGCGGGGTCGTTGCAACCACGGTTAAAGATTACGCCGTCTAAACTTTACACGTTCTAAAGCAGGTTTACAGCTTCTCTTCCGATTGCTTCATTTAAACATATTCAAGCAGGACTTCTGCAGCGGGGAAGGCTAGCATCATGATATATATATATAAGTATAAAGCAAAAGCAAACGCAGGTGGATTCTATTGTTTGGAAGTTCCTCCCATTGTAGGATGGAGGCCATCGCTACTAGTCAGCAGGCCAATGTTATTACGACTGAGGCCATCGCTATTTGGAAGGAGGCCATTTGCTATTGGGATGGGGGTCAACGCTGAGCATGGAGGTCATTGCTATTAGGATGGGAGGTCATTGCTATTAGTTGCCTGTGATGCAACTACCGCCTTCGGCGGAGGAGCTTGCGGCTCAGCCGGCCTTGCAGTTCGAGACACACATGGGGTAATTGATCCCAGCGTCCATGCATGGCCACTCCAGTACTTCCAGCTGCCATCCGGTTGTCCGTACTTTAGGTTGGAGGCAATTGCTTTTAGGATGGAGCCCATTGCATTTAGGTTGGAGGCCCATCGCTATCAGTTTGTAATTTGGTTTTGTTTCTTTGAGTCTTGTGAGACACGATGCCAAACAATTCATAAACAAATCTTTGTTCGTGAGAATCGACATTTTTGTAATGAGAATGGTCTTTTTTCCTCTGTGAAAGTAAGGGTTTGGGCATTACTGTGTGTTGTTGTCTGAGGATACCAATTTTTCAAAAGTAATCAACAGATGACTCGCCTTGATTCCCTGTGGTTATATCAATATTTCAATAGTGATCAACTGGTAACTTGCCTTGCCATAAACTAACCAGAGGTGGCTTGCCCCTCATTCCAACCAGAGGAGGCTTGCCCCTCATTCCAACGAGAGGTGGCTTGCCCCTCATTCCAACGAGAGGTAGCTTGCCCCTCATTCCATACATCGGAAGAGGACAGCCTCGGAGCACTGGTGATGTGCCACAGCTTGCACATCAGTCTCGCCAAGCGCAGGCTGAAGCGAACGTTGAAAAGGAGCAAGAAGATGAGGCTTTGACTCCGCCGGAGCAAGAAGATGAGGCTGTGGCTCCGCCCCCATGCAAGCGGCCTGCTGCGCACGCTAAAGTAGCCGCAAAAGCTGGTGTAGGCAAGCGCCCCGCTTCGAGACGCTGAGTGGTGTGGCACGGGAGCTTCAGCCAGAGGTTGCTTCTTCAGCCAGAGGCTGCAACAAGCCTGGTGCGCCACCTTGCTCAGGCAGAGACTCATCGGCTCGATGCATTGCTTGGTGCACACAGGACCTTCAAAAGGTCGCTGTGAGAAAAGTTGTTGCGCCTGTCAGCCATTCTTATCAGTTGCCCTGTGGGCCATGACCTGCTTGTTGGGTTTAGTGGAGTGGCTCTTTGGGCCATACCTGCTTGTTGGTTCTTGGTTTGCTTGGGTGGCTCTTTGGGCCGCGCCCGCTCCTTGGAGTGGGTCACTGGGGTTTTGGCTGGAAAATGAAATCCTAACTCATGAGGGGTTTTGGCTGGAACACGGTCATACGCACTCCTCGCTTTGTGGTGTTTTGGTCATGGCGATGAATGATCCTGTTGCTTTGCCCAATTGAGTCAGTGACGCTGACTCTCTGGGGAGCGTGTGGGCTTCTGACTTCTGACTAAATGCTGACCGAAGTCCAGGCCAAGTGGTGACGGAAACCTCCAGCCTTATGATGGAGAGAAGTATCAGCGTCGTTACAATGAGGCCGTCGAGTCCTTCGTGCTTTGGCATTTTGCTATGACTGTCTTCAACTTGCAAGTGCAAGCTGGTCGGCGTGTGATCTTGGAACACCCTTGGATGGGCCCAGTGACCCGACTGACTGCATTGGTGTGGTGCTTGGCTTGGTGACTTTGGCTGAGCACTTGCCAGTGCGAAAGGGCAATAAGGTCTTGACCAACTGCACACAAATGGATCCTTGCTTCTCTTCATGACCCTGTGGCCCATCCATGGCTCCAAGGTTGTGAAGGGGGTTGCAACCGCGCTCAAGCGGCCCAGGCTTATCCGCCAAGGATGTGCCGCAACTGGGCTTTGACTGTGGAGCGGGAGTGGTACCAAGCTGGTGCCCAGCAAGATGTAGCTGGGCCTTGCTGGTGACAATGACTCCACTGAGTCGGAATGGGAGCTGCCTTCTGATGTGGAGCGAGGGCTCTTTGTAGATGGGCACTGAATGATGATGGCTACAGGGGGCCAGCCTTCATCCCAATCAGCAGAAAAAAAAGAAGGAAACAAGTTTCACATGAACATTGGTCCAAAATCCGGAGGGGGAGAACAGATTTCAACTTTGCGCATGATGCAGAGTTTTTAAAGCTTGATGAAATATTCCGCCCAGTTCCGGCAAAAGATGGACAAGTGGCATGGAAGACGGATGTTGGACCTGCGAGACGTAATTGGGCCCAGTGTGATATATTAACTTCCGACCTTGCAGTGCGTCTTGACATCCTTGGTGCCTTCCACACCAATTTATGATTGTAAAGCAGTGCTGTGCCCTGCGCAGGCAGATGTTTGACCAGCCAAATGCCAAAGCGTTGCGTGGGAAACGAGAGAAACGACTGGCTGGGCGCAAGAGCTTATTCAACCGCTTCGGTGCTCCGACGCCAGTGAGAAGTGACGTGGACGTTGAGAAGGAGCGGGCCGGCTTCAAGGTCGAGCTGAAGACACAAGTCGATTCTCTTCCAGAAGCTCGCATGATGTGCTACGCTACTAGAGAGACACTGGCAGAGTGCCATTCCCAAGCACACATGTGCGAATTACTTCTTGTTGGCTTTTGCCGCGCAGGCATCTGCAGACTCAGAGATCTTAGGAAGGATTGTTTCAGAGCGCGTCAATTTACCAAGTGCACACGCCCGTCGAGCAAAGCCTGCCGCAGTGAATCCACAAGCTCAGCCGTCGAAGATGTCTGAGCCACCACCAACCAACAGAAAAAAGCTTGAAGACATAGAAGATGACATTGGGGTTGACGAGTGATGCCCGTGGAAAAGGACTTGGTAGCTGTGCTGTGCGGCCCCGTGGTGTTGGAAGAGCCAGTGGTTTAAGCGCCCCCTTCTTCAAACCCCAAAAAGTGGCCTTTGGTTTAAACCGGTTCAACGCACAGGGGTCTGTCAGTTTTGAAGATGAATTAAGAGACACCTGCAATGACCATTCATATTCTCAGCAAGCCAGCCATTGGCTTTGTAGTATTGCTGTAAGATATTTCTATTGAGACAACACTTTGCACAGTTGAGGACCCTCAACGCAAATCTATTATTGAGGATCGGAGCCTTTCTGGTCTACCTTGATTTTTTTAGGAGAAACCTTTACATAAAGGATTACAGTAATTATATAAATAATCAATGGCTTGGGGAAGCGGTCGGTTTTGAAGAAGGACTAGAGAAACCATGAGAAACCTACAAGTACCAATAATACTCTCAGCAAGCCAGCCATTGGCTTAGTAGTGGTAAGATTTTTCTTTTAAGTATAATTAATTCTACCGAGGAAAAAACTTTGCACAGTTGAGGACCCTTTTAAACAAATCGACTATTGAGGGTCATGGGCCTTCCTGGTTTACTACTGTGAAAATTTGCTTAGTAGCAACCTTTACAAAAAGAATGTATTAAGTTTTTTGGTTTTGGGAAACTGCCCGTTTTGAAGAAGAACTAAGAGACACCTTTTGTTACATACAAAACACACCTAACAATCCAACCATTGGTTTACTAGTACTAAGTTTGAACTATGGAGTTAGAATTCCAAAAGGTATTTAACATACTAAAGGGCCCTGAAACAAACATGGGGTGCAGAATTATTTTATCAAAAACCAACATTACTAGTCCTTATCATCCACTGTTACTGGCATATAACTAAAGATATATACACACATAAAAAAACATCTTTATGTATATATCTTTAGTTATATGCCAGTAACAGTGGATGATAAGGGTTATTGCTGCACATAGATACAAATGTGACAAAGCAAACTTTGGGGGTGGACTGGTGGACAAAAGACCATACCAGCCGCCTTGGAGGTGGTAGTTTGTGTTTGATCTATGTTGGGGAGTTGTATTTTTTGACTCCAGGCAGCCACAAATCCTGTTTGGAGCTCTTGGAACTCGGAAGTCATTCCCGAGCTGACGTCTGGGTGTCGATGTTTATGTGGCCAGGCCGAGCCCAGAGTGATGGTGGGCACTGTGCATGCCTATGACATTGGCAAGGCAGGACGGCGGCCACTCGTTCTTTGTTGGCACCCTCCAAGATGTTTGGGTGGTCCATCTTCACATCAAGATGATTAGCATCATTTCTTGATGTTGAGAGGGGGTCCAACTTCATCGATGGGGACAAGAGAAGAACGATGAACGCATTCCCTTCCAAACTAAAAAAAATAAAACATCACCACTTTCGTAAAGGGGTTCACAAGATCCAGACTTTTCTCGTCAATTCTGCCCTGAGGCCGCAAAAAAATGCAGTATACTTATATAGTATATATACCAGGATTCTCGCCGTGACTTTTTCCAATTTCCTCGAAAGACACGCATATAAACCTTTTGCTGAAGAGGTCACCTTAAGGATTTTAAAGGGTATTTGAAGAGGTCCCTTAGGCCCTGAAAAGGTAACTTACAAAATACCACTTCATCCACCCAAAGCAGATCCCAACCAAAGGATTGAACATGGCAGATTGGACATGGGCCTCCTACATGCCATAAAATCAAACCCAATCTGTCAATTTCCATCCTCTCCCGGCTGCACCTTTCTTCAAACGGCTTCATCGATGGACATTCTTTGCTCTCAGCACCGACTCCGGCAGAGGGCTTCGGCTTCATGCGGGCAGATGGCATCGCAGGGGACGTTTTCTTTGCCAGGCACAACGGGCCCATGGCGTCTTATGTGGGCGTGAGATTCCGTGGTGATTCGGGCGGTGATGGGGAGATGGTCCGGGGTCAATACAGTAATTGGGTGGTGTTGGAAAGAGTGGAAGTAGATTACGGATAAGTCATCTCAGATTCTCCTACTTGGCATAATCTTGGCATGGTTTGCTCCCAGGGGATTCGTTGCATCAGTCTATGGTCCATGATCACCGGGCGTCTTGTGCAGGGCGGAGCTTCCAATTGAGCTGCGGGAGGAGGAGAAGGACCAGGCTGGGGCCACGCCATGACGAGAGAATTTGCTTCGACGTCTTCAGATCCTTTCGACTCTCGATGCTTCATCCGCCAAGGATGAAACACTGGAGGTGATGGGTTGCCATTGACCCCGAGCCATGCGATCTGAAAGCCAATGAATCAGACTGACCAGTGGTGGATACAAATTTGCTCCTGCCCAAAAGGGCTCTTCAAAGGTCATCTCTGTCATCGTCAAACTGGGTCATCCGATTCCATCGTTCTTGGCTCTCCTTGAATGGCTTTGCAGATCGACCGAGAAAAAACACATCCAGAAACCGATTGCCGCATTGGACGGCTTCAAATCCAAGACATTGACCGCATCCGCATCTCAGGAGTTTGGGAAATAAGGACGTCTTCGGCATGTTACCCGTCGGCCCGTCACTGCTGGTCTGAAGATTGGCCCAGGAATACCCCTCCCGACCATACTGGCAGTGAACCTCCTCACTATGAGAATTGTCCAGCCCTGGGTTTGTTTTCAGGTTCTATTGTATTGCTTTTGTATGCTTTTATCAAGACTTGTTCAGAGGGAGAGCGGATAGCATTGTTGCTTTGTAATCAACTTTTCTAGAGCAACCCATCAGCAGGTGGTTCAAAACGGGTGTGTGATTTTTTCGACCTCCATCGCCGATCGCCATGACCAGGTCATGGGGAAACACATGGAATTCGAGCTGAAAACCATGCCGGATGGCAAGCTCCGGGCGAAGCCTGGGCACTCAGTGAAGCTTTCTCACCGGGCCGATTACTTGAATGGTTTGCAGCCGGGATTCCCTGAAAAATGCACTCCGCATTGATTTGAGGGCCTTCCACCATGGCAGCCGACTTTGAAGACAGATTCCTCAACGAAAGACCCAAACGTCGTTTGAATCCTCACTATGAGTGTATACATTGACATATATCACTAAGGTGGAACCTGAATGGCCTGAGTGATTGAAATCCTTGTATCCGACCAACAACTTGAGGGGTCCCGAAGCTTCTTGTGCATTTCTATGTAAGTCCAGACTCCCTCAGTTGGTCCTTTGGTATGTCGGGGACAAGGGATCACCATTTGGGCTTCGCCATGCTACCTTGAAAGTTCATGACCACCACCCGCATACTTTCTGGATTTGGCTCCGTTGATGTCAGTGTTTTGAACTGAGCCAGTTGAACCAACCAAGTTGCACAGGAAGCTGCTGGCGCTGAGACGCATAGGCGCTTCCGCCGGCCCCTGGAAGCATCAGTGGGGGTCATGGCTCTCAGAAGACCCGGGTCACAGCTCTCTTCCAGATGGACCCCAACCACAGCATGGGTGACTTCCGCCGTTTTCACTGTAGCGATGCCCTTTGTTTCTAGTAGGAGCCCCTAGTAGCGTCCTTGCTCCTAGTAGCGATGCCAGGAGCCCCTAGCAGCTTCTTGTTACTAATGATTTGGCCCGAGGGCGATGCAAGATGGATGTCGTTGAAAGGCGCGAGACCCCCCAAGACTATACCAAGTCAGTCTCATTCAGTCTCCACACCCAATTTGTGAGGGGTGCTTTGTTCTGAGCGAAACAGGCCCAATCAGATTTGGCGATGTGAACTTCGACCCATTTGCCTCATCCTTCTTCAGACTTCGATGGACGATAAAGCCGAAGGCTTCTCGTTGATTTTGCCTCGTCTCGCAGAGTTGAATGCGATGAAGCCCTATGGCCCCAACCAAATGGGTAGACTGGTCTTGACTGGTCTATTTTCCTTCTTCCAGGAGGCCTTTGGGAGGTCTCCCTATTTTACCACACCCGTTTGTTGTAGACAGGGGACAGGGAAGATCTTGACCCGCAAGCACTCCTGCCAGGTGGCCACCCACGAGCACGGGGCAGGCGAGGTTAAAACCGTGCGACCCGAGAATATGAAGATTGTTGGAAATTGCAATCGAATAGGGAGATCCCCTCCAAAGACCCCCTGGAAGAGAAATGTAGACGCAAACCGGCCCAAAGCCCTGTAGTTGAAGGTTCAACGGGTTCAAACACCAACCCAAATGGATCCGATCGGAAGACTGAAGGGGCCCGGCCAAAAGGTGCGCGACTGAGGCAAAGCCCGGATTGGAGAGGGCAACGCATGTGCTGGGTGTACCATGGTGCTTTGCAGCAGCGAAACCCGAAACCCTTCACCGCTTTCAGGCACTGTTGAGCTCGAAAAAGACGATCAACTTGAGAAAGACCAACATCAATGGACCTTTGCTGGTTGAGGTAAACATCCTTTGCCAGCTGCTTGGAAATCCACGATTATGGGGTGACAGAACTCACATTGACGTCCACATCAGCTTAGAACCGAAGCAATATTGGGTTTCATGAGACCTGACGAAGACACCTAGTAGAAACCCAGTGTGAAGAGGATTGAAACCGGGAATCCACCACTGCAACTTGTGACTCCTTTGGAGATGGCTTGCTGGAGCCCTTTCTCCACCCTATACTTTTCACCATCCAAGCCCCTTCCGCTGTACAACTACCCAGCGTTTGCCCCTGTCGCAGGGTCATCAAGTACCATCAGGACAAGGGCTATGGATTTATAGGTTCGGAGCCCAGAATGCTTGAATGCACCAATTGTTATGTTGCCAGCGCGAGTCTCCTGTGCTCAATGTGCTTTAGTTTCTCATTCCGATGAGAAGTTCAGATGAAGGGTCAAATCTACATGTTCACCTGCAATCGATCATATAAAGTAGCTTCGACTGCCCTTCCTTTGGCAGTCAAGCGACCTTGAAGCCATGATTCTTGGTGAACCAGTGCAGGGCTGCAGGGTTTCACGACCTGAAAAGGGGCCCCACACCCAGTCAGAGTACAAGATAAGGAGCACGGTTCCATCCATTTTGGACAAAACCACGTGGGAAGTCAAGTGAATAGAAGTGCGACTTGCTGTGAATCTTTACGGTCCCAGAGTCAATGGCACAAGTTACTCCATGTTTGGTGGTTGATCAAGGGACCTAGTAGCGTCCTTGCTCCTAGTAGCAAGGCCAGGAGCCCCTAGTAGCGTCCCTGCTCCTAGTAGCGATGCCATGTCTTCTGGTTGTGCACTCGCCTCCATCGAAATGGTCCACCGGCGAGTGCACGCGAACAAGTGCGAACGAAGGAACGAAGGGTGAACAACTATCGAGGAAGCAATGGCCTCCAACCTAAATAAGAGATAATAAGAGAATTCCAGGAAAGGTAAGAGTTTTCTACTTTATACATCCAGTTGCAGTCTCTTACGGTATTGTATCTTCATCGAGTTGTTGGAGTGGTATTTTTTAACTCTGAATTCTGCGTCGTGCGGCTGCTGGTGGTGTGAATCCCCACAGAAGGTCTGTGATATTTGCGCCCTGGAAGTCCAAGGCTATATATAACGAAAATGGTCTTTAGGTGACCCGAACAGGAATGCTCGGGTCACGCCAAAATTGTGTGTCATGGCTTCTTGAGACTCATATCTCGCGTTTCTCCAGTCTTCGTGTTTTCGAGTTCAAGAGCTCCGGTTCGGAAGTGGCGATCGGGAGAACACCGTGGTTGACCGGTTGACCGGAGAAAGCGGAGTAGATCGCTGGGTCTTCGTCTTCGAGTGACGTGGGTCTTTACACAATTCAAGAAATTGATCGAACTGGGTTACGTTACATGGTTTACACTGTATGGAACGATCCCAGATTCATGGAACTTTGATTCCAAGTTTATAGATTCTTGGACCGTTCCTGATGGATTGTTTTGGCTATTGGAAGCTGTTTTGATTGGCTCGTACCGCTCGAACGTCTGGGTCCGTTTCAACTGGCATGACATCCAAACCAGGACCCCTCCAGAAACGAGGCAGTTATTTTAGTTGAGAATAGCCAGAATAGCATTATAAAATTATAAAGCATGCTTTGCCAAACATATTGTAGAATCATCAGTTCGATGGTTGCTCCTCATTTTCTGTCCCTGCTTGGGTAGCCGGGAGGGAACACCTCCAGTCACTTGCTGTGGATCATCTCTTCCGCAGACTGCGGCTGGGCTGACAATGTCTTCTTCATGCGGAGCTCTTTGCCCAAGGACCAGGGTCCGATTCTGCGAATCACAGCGCCCAGGGGGGCCCTAGTGGCCTGGGGATTTCCTTTTTGGCAAAGATGAAGCGGGCAGCCCATGGTCCGATGCATCGCAATCCACAGATGCAGACTTCGCCTCATTGCTTGAAAAGACGGTGAGTTTGGCCGGCAATACTCTGAAAACTCATTGTTAACTGTTGAAACACCGCTTTTGCTATCTTTTAAGTCATATTTGTCAGTATTTCAAAGCTCTAAAGTATCGTACCGCTCGAATCTCCATGTTTCTATTCTGAAGGTTCGTCCGTTCATGTCGGCCTTCTGTCGCATGGATGATGCAAGCACACCATAGTTGGCCTTTACTCTTCGTTGGTTGATTAATAGGGGGATACCCTCAAGTGTACAACCAATAGGAAAATGATGGAATATGGTACCATATGGTACCAAACCAACCCTCCATTGATTTTTTCAAGTATATACAGACATCATTGGAACACGCTGTGGCAGGACCTTAACAACGCTTCTTTGGAGGACAGCGCAGCTTCCAAACGTGACGTTGGATTAGCCGCTAAGCCTCTCTTCGCTGGTTCGGCATGAGGGGGAGAAAGGCATTTCATATTGCTCGATATCCACTACAATGACATAATGGTTAAATTATTATCCACATTTCACATTGCAGTGAACTGCGAGTCATCCTCCGACCTGGTTGATATGTTCCTCGACTCGCCGAATCATCGATTCAGTTGACCTTCTCTTTTGACCTGAATCCATGAGCGCCAAGAACGATCCAGGAGCTTCAGCAATTTGAGGTATCCTTTGAGGTGTTGGGCCGCCCAGCTCGTGGCAGTCCATGTGAGTGCAAATCACCCCGGCGTGAGTCTAGTGGAATGTTTTCCTCTTATTATGTTGGAGGCCATCGTTCTTCGTCTATATTATTTTGGTCACGCCTCAGTCGCTTTGCAAAGCAGCATTCTTCCGGATTTGGAAGCCTCTTAATGTTGAGTGCAAGTGGGTTTTATCGGTTCCCTTCCGAGTGGGAAGGCCATACACTATTGTGCAGGTATGTCAGGTATGTGCAGGTCCTCGAACTCATCATTTTTGCCACTGAGGTCTATGTTTTTTTGTCGGATTTCCAGGTTTCCGAACATCTCCCAAAGTACGCCGATGCGAAAAAGAGGCATCTTCCGAAAGGGTGGGTCTTGGCTGCGAAGTATCACTTCTTTACCCCAACGGACCGGTCGACATGTGCGACCTGAGTGAGGTCTTCCAAAGAGCCTGGCAAACCGAGAGCCTCCAATTTGGAGATCTTGGGGCGGGACCGACCACGGCCGTGTTCTTTTTGTTCCTCTGCGGAATGAAGGGCGAAATGGAGCCGTTGTTTGCAAGGGGAGTCGCATGTTAGGGTGCTTGAAGGGGTGGTTAAGGGTGGTACTTGCAAAGGCTGTGTATTCCTTCTTGAGTTGAATGTGTCCGCTCGCCACCGTGCGGGCCAACCCAACTCACGGGGCACCTTCTCCGCCCGCAGGAGAAGGTGGCCGAGGTCAACGCTCCACGGAATTCGTTCCAGGGCGGCGAGGTTGGATCCGGCGGATCCGGTGGGGGAGCGGGAGCATGGACGCTACTACGGGCTCCTGGCCATACTACTAGCAACAAAAAGCTACTAGTAACAAAGGGCATCGCTACTAGGAGCAAGGACGCTACTAGGGGCTCCTGGCCTTACTACTAGTAACAAGAAGCTACTAGTAACAAGAAGCTACTGGGCGGATCCGGTGGGCTGAACCACTGGAGGCTTTGGACGCCCGGAGGCTGTGTCACTTCCGGGATGATCATGTTTTGAAAGAGGGGGAACGTGAATTCCAACTCATCCAGAGTCGAACATTCTTCCACCCAGGAGGTGCAGTGATGTTCGTTCGGGACCACTCTTTAGGCTGTCGTCAATCCCTTGGCATGCAGAAGATCTTGGGTGGACCAATCAATATCAATCAATCAAAACATACTATATAGAACATACAAAACTATAAAGAAGTCTAATGGACCGGGGTACATTCTCTTTTTTGATTCAGACCGGGCCTGTTGGGCGAATGTTCGAGGGTTTTCTCCACAACTTTCTTGCTTCTTTTAGACGTGGATTTTTGTGCTGCAGATCCTGGATGGAGAGATCGTGAACTTCGATCCGCTCAAGGCCGAAACGGCGAGAACCACCATATTCCGGGAGAGTTCCGCTGGGAGTTGGAGAATTCCGTGAATTTGGAGAGCATCGCGTTGCTCTTTTCGAGTCTGTCTGTCTTGCAACATCATGTAGGCTCGGGGCACCGATGGGAATTCTGAATGTTATCTTGGCAGTTCTCAACGAGTCCGGTCGGCTGGAGATCTGGTGAAGGTTTCTTCCCAACTGCAGCGCATGGTCGACAGAGTCTCAACATGTCTCAACTGCCCCAGGGCTTCGGCTTCATCCGGGTCCGAGACCACAATGAGGATGGAAGACACGGAGTACTCAGCGCTGGGCGAGTCGAGCATGGCCAGTGATGTACCCAAAGAATCCAAACGATACCAAAACGCCCTAAAGCAGTTCGACAAAGTGCTTCTTGTCCAAACAGAAACATGAAGATTAAGGGAAGTCACACTCTCGCAGGAAACCATCACCATTTCCCCAAGACATTCTCAGGCCCCCTAAAACAACACAAACCCCGTGTTTCTGGGAAAGAAGGCCTGGGCTGTTGGCGCCAAAAGCTACGGTATCGATGGTCTCGGTATGTGTGACGCGTCCGCTGGTTGACCTGGTTGCGCATGTCGCGCGTCTTCTCACCTCGTGTCACCCACATGAGTTTCGCAGTACCTGGCCTGCAGAATCTCCTCCCAAGATCGTCGCTCTCAATCGCACAGGGGAAACCACGACTCGGAGTCGACTCGTGATGCTTGGGAGTGAAGAATCTGGAAGGCCCATCATGTGCCGAGGTGGTTGTAATCTTGTTATTTTTTTTAAATAAAGACGTTTTTCTTTTTTTTCTTTGTTCGAAAGCAAATTTGTAGCTGTATACATGTATATAATGAGTTCCCATCGCCATCATGTTGCCAATGCCTGCTGCTGACACATGTCACACAAGATGCGCAAGACATGGCTGCCACAGGATGTCTATTTTGTGAAGCCAGAGCTGCCTTCAGAGCTGGCTTCTGCCGAACGGAAGGAGGAGGTCGGGGATGGGCACTGCTTGGTCCTCTTGAAAGGCGAACCTCCTGAAATCGATGCGTTCGTGTCACGTTTACAAGTTTACAAGCACGAACAATTCCTATAGACTCGGACCTCTGGAGGCATCGCATGTCTCCAGAATCCGATTTGCGTTTCATTGAACGTGCCAGAGATTTGCGGTCGTTTTCAAGCTCAACTTTTTTGAAGCAAGACTGGTCCGGCCAGTAGAGCAGAAAGGCAGATGGAACATCTCCAATCGACCGTGCCTTCATTTGCCACCTACTTTGCTGTTGAACCGGTAGCTTCAGCTCACGTTTCTGCCAAGTGAAACATGCCGCCAGGTGATCGGAGAGAGGGTGGAGTTCGAGGCCAGTTTTAACGATGGGTTGGTTCTGTTGGTTGCTGGATTCTGGACGCCCAAGTCAACGAGAGTGTGGGAGGTTGCATAGCTACTAGCGGCCGCTAGTAGCTGTCCGAGATGAAGCGGATGACCTCCCGTGATAAACTGTGTCCGGCAGGTGCTGGTGAAGCCTGACGGCAAGATACGTGCGCAGGACATGCGTCTCCTGGGATCTGCAGGTGGGTGTCCGGTGATGAAGAGAGGGGTGTGAGTATCTGGTGGATTGAATAATAGTGCTTTGGGATGCTTTTGGTATGTCATCATGATGGTTCACAGTTCGGTGGTAGGTCTTCAAGGAGAGGACGAACGTGCAATTGATAGTAAGTCCACTTGGGCTTCAACCCAGTGCGGGCCTCGTCTCATTGCATAGTTGTCGCGAATTTCTTTGATAAGCACTTCCGGCGTGGTATGAACACCACAGAAGGGCACCCCAGCACTCTGTAGCCCTTCAAACGGTTCCCACCCAAGTCTGACCGGATTGGACCCCTTGTGGGGCCCCTTGTGCGGGAAGTTGGGACTGTTCGAACATTGCATGAACCAGCCCATACTGGGTTCTTGGTAGTTAAGTATAGACACTGGGTATTGCTGGTTATCGTGTAGCTCCGCGTAGCTCCGTGTGGCTCCGCGTGGCTCCGCAGAAACCAGACCTTGAAATCTCGGGACTTGTCCTCTTCCGGTGAAAGCTCATTCTGTCATATTCTATCTCATCGACACGGCCAGACCAACCACGATGCTCACCCAAAAGCAAATTAGCCTTTGCATGCCTTTGCTTTGGAGTGTCAATGAGAACAGACATTGGGAGGCAAGGATGAGCCCGAGTCCAGAACTGAGTCGACCGGGATGTGCACGGCTTCGGGGAAGAAAGAGGGACGGTCGGAGATGGCACGTGCGATGGAGACAAAGGAGACGTTTAGCAAAATCATATTCCACTAGAAACTGTTAAACTGACACCTGAAAGTGGACGTTTGACCTCTGGACATGTATCCAGTTTGGGGCTTTGGTTGAAGAGATCAAAGGTAACATGAACAGCACGAACTTCAGATGATATGTTGCACGGTGTACGTTTTAGTTAGTTTTGCATAACCTCACTTTTGGGTACCGACCTCCCTCTCATGCCAAAAAGATTGAAGAGGCAACAACTGTCTTCGCACATCGTTTGGATCTCAGCTTAGAGATTAGGTTGGAGGCCATCGCTAATAGGCTATAAGCTAGGAGGCCATTCCTTTATTGTCAGAAGCTACTAGGGGCTCCTGGCCTTACTACTAGGAGCAAGGACGCTACTAGGGACTCCTGGCATCGCTACTAGGAGCATTCTCACTACTAGGAACAAGGACGCTAGTAGTAGCAAAGGGCATCGCTGCTAGGAGCAAGGGCGCTATTAGTAGCTCCTGGCCGTACTACTAGTAACAAGAAGCTACTACTACTAGGAAGAAGAAGCTAGTAGTAGCTACTAGAGGTCACCACAACCGTCACGCGTCGACCATTTCGATGCTCCAGACCCTTTGGGTGCAGACTCAACCGCGCAGACGTCGACTCGGGTGCTTTGTCAAAACTTCCTACATCCATTGCCGACCCCTAAACTGACACTTGGTGTGGTCTGCCTCTAGTCATCTCTAGTCACTCTAGTCCTTGCATTTTTTGCACCCTGGTGAACCAACTCGGCCTGAATTCGGGCGTTTGATTGGTGCTCCAACTGATTTTCTGCAAAGCATTTTCTCTCGAGTCGAGGACTGCACTTTGGGGGTTGGTTTTTGGTTCTTCTATAGACAGAGTCAGGGTCGTGTTTTTCCTCACACCTGGTCTCCAAGGCTTTGCCAGGCGAAGGATGGTTTCATGTGATGAAAGGAACAGAAACCGAAAGTTCGCCGTGGTGAAGCTAGGTGCTCCTCTACCTGACTCAACCTGACTTTACCTCTCTCTTTAAGTTTCTGACAAGGCGGAGTGACACAAGTCATAGTGACATAGTGCTTAGGATTGTCCAAGTCTTTGAGTCATTGAGTCAGAGAAGGACCTTCCTGTGTGATGTCACCCAACTGCCGTGGGCCAATGAACCTGAAATCACCAGTCATCACACTGGAATCTCCTCTAAATTGAGATCCCTAAGATCTAGGTTTGGGATCCACAACAACTTAGACTTAGACCTTTAGTCCTTCCAGGTTTAGTAATGTAAAAACTCTAGTGTTTTGACCTTTGCTGCATACCCCTTGGGTCTGGCTATTGCGTGATGTTGGCTAGCCCATTCCATACAAGGCCAGTAAGTCACATTCAATATGAATTTGCAGGTCTATATACTCGTTCTAAACCACCTTTTTTGTTGTTGTATAACATGCAATATTCACACGTCGCCAGTTAAGGTGGATGGCATGGGCCACTACCCCGGCACATTGATTCTGAATTGGTCCGTGGCTCATCATTCCACCTTATTGGATGTGGCCAACAAGGTCTGACCTGGACGACGACCTCGTGCAGGAGATGGAAGACTTCTTGGTGGAGCACGGAAATCGTTACTTGAATGAGACAGTCATAGAGGGAATTCCCATGTCTTCCCTCTTTCAGGTAGGTTTCAAGCTGTCACATTGTTGTTATGTGCATCTTCGTGGGATGGTCCATGGTAGTCTTTGTCAAGGCTCGACTGCACTGATTTGTGGCAGGGTTTGTGTTGAGCTCCTGGTCGTTTTGAGGGACCCACTTGGGGATTCTCACTACCACTGGATTGAGTTTGGGTTCGAAAGGCACACCGCCCTTCAGGATTTGTCTGGATCTTTGGATCGGACTGGACGTGGCTTTCTGCTTGCCCGGAGCCGACGGGTCTTGTTTCCAGCCCTTGTCTCCGGGACACAGCCTATGACCCTGCCCAAAATCTCGAGGTGTTTCCATCGCGTAAACTGTCGATGAATAAAGCCCCTCCAGACCTGAAGTATGAAGATGGCCATTCTGGAGATGGGGGGTTTTATGCATCGACATGCACCAACAGTTTAATCATTAAATCTTACCTGGCCAAACACCTCCCAAAAAAGACAACTGGCCCAGCGAGGACGGTTGTCGGAGTCCGAGCGGCAGTAGTCGCACTGTGATGAGGTCAGAACTACGGGAATTTCACCAACCGCTTCCCACGGGCGGCTGCCTTGGGACCTGCGCGGGGTGCAGAAGTTCGATCAACATGAGGAAGCCTGCCAGAAGTTCTGATGTTCTAGTATTTGATCTCTTTTGGTGTGTTCTACCACTTCTTCTACCAGGTCCGGTGTTTGAAAGGCTAAGCGGCTAATCTTTAGGTGGCAGTGGGAGCTTCTGCACTTGACGCACGCAAACTTGGGAGCTCCCGCAGTGGAGAGGCTCTCCAGATGAATGCAGGGGACGCACACAGGGCAGGTCCCAAGTATGGAACGCAGAACCAGACTTGCAAACAGACCACTATGGGTTTTGGAGGGCCCCATTGATCAGGAGAACTTGACGCTTTTTGCGACAGCTCTCCACTCCATACGATGCAAGCATCATCATCCACTTTCTCCAGCGGATGGATGTACTTAACGATTCTTTACTGTAAATCACTATCCACTTGTATTTGCTTCTACCAGACCCTGGTGCTTTTTAATTGGGGAGTCTATTGCTTGTTTGCACCCAAGGTGAAGAAGACGAAGATCCAAAAGCATTTTCACATCACCGACGGAGGTGGCGGGTGGGTGGAAGCTGCTCGAGTGCTGGGAGGGGCTTCTCTGGTGAGGTGTTCTTGCATGGGCATAGCCACATAGCCTCCAAGATCTCCGGAAGAGCTTTTTCAGATGAGAGCAGGCCGCTTGAGGCCGGCAGCCCGACTCATTCAGCAGGAAGGCCTGAAGTAATCCGTAGTCCCTGACCTTCAGTAGATGAACTTTTGAACCATATATTGTCCCAGTATCCATCTCTCTTCCGATATGAACATGTGACAGGCCCACCAGATGGCAATTCCGTGCGGTCCACGGTCGCCAGATGGCCGGCAATTCGTGGAGCTGCCACCGGATCACCCTCGCCGCATCGAGGCGCGACGACGTTGGAAGAGGGGAACGGAGAACCACTGGGGGGGTTCGGCTGTAGAGGTGAGGTAGGTTAGCTAGGTAGCTGGTGGCTTAAGTAGCTACTAGTATGGACGCAGGATAGCTCACGCATTGATGATTTTGTTACTAGATGTTACTAGTTTTTTGGGGGAAACTTAACATTAAGGTAAGGAAGATTCGGTGCAGGATTTCATCAACAGCAGAAGTGGGTCAGCGGAGTGCATTGGAGAAGGGTATTCGGGTGATTCTACTTTTCTTCTCAGCCAGACTCCGATGGACGATGCAGACTTGTAGTCGAGCTTTGGAGGTGTTTTTCCAGCACAATTCAACGGAATGTCCAAAATGATGTCCAATGGCTTTCAAGACTGGAATTCGAAGCCATCACTGCTAAGCCTTTTGTTGGGGGGAAGCCTGATCAACATCAACCTGGGAGTCTAGGAGACAGCCCTGAAAAAGAATCCAAACACATCCTTTCATCCAAATCTTGCCTTTGATCCAGGGAACGGCTCCCATCCCCAGAACCGCCCAGTTCGCCGCAGTGGCCCGTAGTAGGGTCCCATTCATTCCAGTACGACTTTGAAGGGTGCTGTTCAAGGACCAGGATAGCATAAATGTGTACATATGAGTCATATGAGTGAGAATGGACTCCTATGATATCAATTTTCCACTCACTTTGCCTCTCAGAACCTGAACTTGGCTCGTACAGGTCGTTCTTTCTCCAAGCTGCAAATGGGTTGGCACACTGGAGGTGGTTCTTGAGTACAGATCATCAGATCATCCAAGTTCACGCAAGTTGCAATATGTGGCGTCAACGGAGGCTTTGCCCAACTTCACCACATCCTCATCGTTTCTTATCGTTTTCATAGAACATTGTCATCTTTTTCACACCGTTGTCATCAGGCTCACAAACGTATTATCATCGGCTCCACAACATATAGCATATATCAGACCTTGGCAGAAGATCAATGCCAGAGCTTGTCATGCTGCCAAACTCAACGTCTTGGATTTCATGAATTCCAAGACAATAATGCCACTCCAAAACACAAACACACACTGAAACACGCATGATTTTTAAGCCCTTGGCATGTTGCTTGCCGGGCAAGCCCCCCTGTTTACCCAATATGTTGCAATACCTTCCAGCATCGCTAGAGAGGTCTTCACCGCTCTCAGTCGAGTCCAGAAATTGGGTCCAAGCTCGGGCTCTGCAGGAAGCTGCACAGCGCCCTGAAGACGAGGCCAAGTGGCAGATGGGCGGTGAAGTTCTCTCCTTCTCTCCTCCCATGGTGGAGGATGGATGATGCTGGTGTGTCATTCAGGTGATGTTCGTGGGCTTGGATGACACAAGGTTATTGCCATCACCGTCGCCATGTCATTATTTCACCATCAAGTTGAATTGTGATGACGAAGCCCACCTTCACTTACGACTCAAAACATCACCAGATCACAAAGAAGTGTGAAGCTTTGCCTGCGCCAAACGAGACTTCTCGGTCGTTTTGTGCAGAGTTTGAGCTCATTCAGGATGAATTCAGGTTTGAAGGTCCCCCGTTTTGCGGATTTCCCCGTGAAAAGAGTGGATGGGTCTTCCAACAATTGTACCTTCGCTAGAACCACAGGGGATCATTGCGAAAGGTAGGCCACTTCAGCCCACACAAACAGGACATGCGGGAAGAGCCAAAGGAGGAGCCCAAGGAGGAACCACGGGAGGATGCGCGAGAGAACGAGGTGCCGTGGGAGGATGCGGCGCCGAGTCCGGATAGGTGGGCAGCGTCAGAGGTATGTGCGTCTTAAAGACCAAGATGTCTGGTTACTTCGCAACGTACACCGCGAGGCTTTTGATGGAGCATGGAGTTTCTGCAAAAAGACAGGGCACCTTGCGTTCGGATTTTCTACCTCAAGAGTCCTCCAGTGACCGCCTTCCTTTGAGACTCCCCCAGAAAGGTGCGGAGGTCCCCACTTTCAAAGAGAAGTCAGATGGGAAGCCCAACGATTTGTAGTGAGAGCATGTGAGAGCTGAGTCCATGTCCAGAAAAAGAGTCTCTGATGAGAGCTTGGCAATGGAAACTGACACTTCTCAAGTAGCAGGTGCGCTAGCATCAACATCTGGTGCCAGGATTATCTCGACGACTTCCCGGAGCCGCTCGAAGAGGCGCGAAGAATGTCACGTCGCGTCACGGGTGCGTCGTCCGCGTCACCGGAGCTCGAGACGCCCAGGCTCGGGAGGTGAACGAAGAGGATGTCGACCCCAATGAGCCAGCCATTCCCCTGGGCAAAGGGCCTCTTGGTCATATTCAGGATGGCTCGAAGTGGGTCTTCTTGCAGGGCTTGGCTTCTTAGGCAATTCCCTGTGTCTTGCGACTGGAAATCCTGGCATATCTTCAACTTCCCACCTTGACGCGTCAGCTGTCAGGCGCCAGACGTTGCAAGACGAGAGGGACTGGAGATTGGAGGGATAATCGGAGTGCAAAGGCGCTTGTACTGGTTCTTTTCACGAAGTAGTGAAGGAGTATATATAGTCATTCAATGGTTTTCTCCAATGGTTCTTCAAGTGTTCTTGGGTGGAGATTTATTCTCTCATTTCGGTCACCATGCCAATCGGCCCGCACTGATAGAAACAAAGACCCGGAACATCCGCTGTGTTCATTCGCTTTCCACGTCGGAGAGCTGGCGAATCTGTGACGGTCTGAGCAGTTTTGTTTGGTCCATACAGGTTGGTTTGTCATGCCCAACTAGTTGTATAGACCCCCAAATAGATAGAACATAGATCCCCAATGATCCCCACCAAGAATGCATTGGAAAGCGTTTGTATCTATTTGGGTACCACAAAGGAGTGTTTTGCTTTGAAGAGTTGTGCACCATCCAGCCTGGTGAAATCGGTTAGGCCTCTCCAAAAATTCTCTCCAAGAAATGACTCCATAATAGACTGACAACGAGATCCAGTCTTAAAAATTGTTATTTGAAGATATTTGGCGTGGTTTCTTTATGTTTCTTTCTACCTGGGGATCTGCACCTGCAGGTCCCTCTGATTCAAAAAAGTCGCGCGGCCTTGACTCGATTCCGCTGCGAGGTTGCATCCTTTGGGCGTGATCCGGGACTACGATGCCAAGAAGGGCTATGGCTTTATCCGCTGTAAGGGCTTAGCTGAGGAGCCTTCTTGGGTGAGTGTGAGTGTGGGAAAGGTGGCTTCCGGCGGATCCAGATTGGTGGAAGCGTGAGATTAGCACTCTTCAATGAGGCAGTTTCCTTTCCGCTACTAGGGGCTCCTGGCATCGTTACTAGGAGCAAGGACGCTACTAGGGGCTCCTGGCCGTACTACTAGGAGCAATGTTCGCTTTCCCGAACCCGGGTGGGGATGGAACCGTGGAGGTCTGACACTTGACAATTATGGCTGACTGAGTCCTTTTGCTGCGCGGCAAGGATGCTTGATTCAGAGACAGGATCCTGCTTTTGGTATTTGCCGACTCAAATATGTTGGTCAACAGAGTCAACGGCTCACCTGGATATGGCATCGGCAGTCATTTTCACACTCCCTGGCAGGATGTGTTCTTTCCAAGGAAGGCACTGCCGACCTCATTTCAAGGGCAGAGTACTCGAGATGTGGCTCGGCCAAAGTCTTCGTTCAAGTTACACAGGTTGTGGGTTTCAGCGTGTTGGTTCGGTTGGTTGGGTGGGATGTTGGATTCTTCAATTAGTCAGCATTATGTCCTCACCTAAGTCAAACATCTCGCTAGATGTTGCGGTGAGCAGCTTCATCAAGAGCTATGAATGATGCGAAAATTGCCAAAATCTGGGGCCAAGACTTCAACTGCCATTTGAGATGCGCTACTGTATCTTGAATGTTCATCCAAACAGCTTCTCGTTCACCCCTAGCTCAAAGCAATGCTGTATCCCTTGGTGCCCACCAAGGCCGCAAGGATTCCCCACGATGGCTCTTTAGGAGTCAAGTTACCTCGTATGGGTCAAACTTGAAACCCAAGGCCTCATGTAGGCCAGTGATGGTACACTTGATTAATTTCTGGGTTGTTAAACACACCCATCACATCTCATCACCCAACCTCTCGCAATCGATTTGGCACATTTCCATCTATCACATCTATCAGATCACCCCAGGTTGGGTGCCTTTCCCAGGGCCCAACAAAAGCCAACCGTGTGACACAATTCTGACGCTTCGTCTCACTGCTTGGCCCTTTCTTCCGCCGCGGTTCAAACGCGTCGGGACACCGCGCGTTCCCACAGCGTGGATCCTTGGGGCTCTGGCGATGCCGGAGGAGGAACTCTTGGCACAGGACGGGCTCTTGCGCTGTGTGGGGAAGCTTGGAATCACAGAGTGGCATGAAGTGGGTCTAACTTCAGTATTGCAAGAGATGGACCCCCAGTGATGATCTTCTAGGAGTTATTCTTCAACATCATTGTCCATCCACACCCTCTACAACCAGAAGTGGGTCAATCCCCACACTCCCCCCTACTCCAAGCTGGATCCCCCCACGCTCCCGATCCAACAAAGATGAAGATCCACTCCATGCTGCTTCCCTCGGTCTCGCCGTCAACAGCCCTGAGAGCTGCATTTCACCGAGGAATCTGAAATCCAACCTACAAACTTGGAGCTGTGAGGAACGTGTTCGTGCCTTGGAACGGCAAACCGAGGCGGCTCAGGCACAGCAAAAGGTGAACGCTTTGAGTGCCGCCTTGCGGAAGGCGTGGAACTCGCCGTGTTTTGGGCACGAAGATTAGAGAAGTGATGAGAAGTGAGAGATGGATTTTCTTATAATTTCTTGTTTGCGTTCTTCATTTGGGGGGAGGAGGAAGGGTTTATTTGTTTTTTTGGTTGGGGAGGGAGCGTTGGGTTAATTTGTGGCCTATACGAATGTTTGGGTGATCCGCAGTGAATCACCCGATTTCACATGATTTCACAGCTTTTGACTGTCGAGAAAAAGCAGCAAACTCCTCACCTCTCTTGAATAGATCCAATCGGACGATCCGTGACGTGTTCTTTTTTCCATCCACTCCTGGAGTTTTGATCCCCTGCGGCTTTTTCTTTGACAATTCGTCTTTTGTGAGGCGGAGGTCTTGGAGGAGAGCTGGGAGAAGGGAGTGTCTTCTTTGCTTCAGCAGGCCAAGGAACAGCGAGCAGAGCTCGTGAAGGTGGTTGATTTGCTCAAAGCTCCCTTGAAGGAGTCCGGCCTATCAGGCCTAAGTGAGAGTGGGGACTTGTCCAGCTTGCCGGAGCTGGTGAAAAAAGCTTTAGGGCAGATGGACTCCAAAAAGAAGGAGAAAGTCAAGGAGAAGTCGAAATCGGAGAAAGAGCAGTCAGAAAAAGAGGAAGAGGAGGAGGAGAAAGAGGAGTCGGAGAAAGAGGAGAAGGAGAAGGACAAGAAGAAGAAAGGCAAGAAGAAAGAAGAGAAGGAGGAGAAAGAAGAGAAGAACGAGAAGAAAGGATCACGCAAAGAGGCCAAAGAGGGGAAAGATCGAAAAAAGCGAAGAAGGTCGCGCAAGGAACGTGGATCCGATGCCTCGGACTCTTATAGCTACTCGAGGACGCCTTCACCTCGACGCAGGAGGAAGAGAAGACGTCGGAGAAGGCGAAGACCCAGTCCAAGCTACTCCAGGTCATACAGTTTCCTGGACCCCACACATTGCTTTGGTCCACTGCCCTCGTGCCCCTGGTGATTTGGGGTATTCTTTGGGGGCGACCCGAATGGGAGACTGGCCAGCTTCACCCACCGGTGGAAGAACACTGGGATTGGTGGTCTTTCGAGCTTGGAAGATTCTTCAATGAATGGGTAAAAAAGCATCAAACAACAGAATATAAATACAAATCTTTCTATCCAAGCCCGAGATTTGGATCCGACCACCTTCGTTGGTGCATGTGTGGTGTTTGGAGCATGGTGAGATCTGGATAGATATGACATGAACAAAGCAAGGGGAACAGCTCATCAGGACCCATAGAGACCCTAGATGGTTCGCCCCAAATTCAATGGTCTCTTGGAGACATTACCATGTTTCATCACAACGGCCATGGGCTCCCAAGTTGCTTTTTGGATATCTGACCCTCAGCACATCAAGTGCGCTTTTGGACCCGGATAGTGGTTCTACAATGTTTTGCATACGCATATCAATTGGGCAATTTTCTTTCGGAAAAGGGCGATGGCACACCTTCATGGGAGCACCACCACCATAAAATACAAGTTGCATGACCTTCATGATTCACCCCCCACCCATCGCATTTTTGCGGTGTGCCGGGGAACCTGAGGTTATACGCCGTCAAAGGAACGGCGCAAGGGCACGCGGCGCAAGGGAACCAAGCGCCGCAGTGGTGGCCGAGACCGCGGCGGAGCTTCCGCGTTGGACGTGGGGTCGGAGATCTCGCGCTTTGTGAAGGTGAACAAGCTTGAAGAACGCTGTGAGAAGATTTTGAGGGATCTGGATGCCAAACTGGCCTTCCAGGTGGGGGAGGGGTGGAAGAAGGCAAAGGAACGAAACAACATCCTTTAGGTTCGGAGGGATCAAATGAACGAGGAATCATTACAGTTTCTCCTATTCTCCTATTTAGACGGCCACTCCTGCTGTTGAAGGACGAAACCATGCACCTCGGACAGAGGATGTCCCGCTATGATCCGCCATGTATTTGTAAGGGTTTTTGGGTGAGGCAGGTGCCTTTAATCCATCAACAGTAGGCCCAAGTGACCAAGTTCAAACCTGTGTGGACCCGAGCTCCCTGAGCCTTTCATCCAATTTGCCAATTAAAAAACACCTCCAACTCCATCCATGATTCAGAATCTAACTTGATACTAGTAACAAGAAGCTACTAGGGGCTCCTGGCCTTACTACTAGGAGCAAGGACGCTACTAGGGGCTCCTGGCATCGCTAGTAGTAACAAGAAGCTGTTCATCCTCCCCCCAACCGCCTCTGCTCACCCGAAACTGCCTCCCGTCCAGGTTATGGGCGTCAGCGGCGGCGGAGGGCGAGGCTTCACCTTCGAGCTCAGTGGCGACGTCCGCGACCCCACAGCGGTGGTCCTCGCACGCATCCGTAAGGCGGTGGTGTGAAGGGAGGGTGTGTAAGTGGCCGGGGCGGGAGCCGGGGGCAGTGGGGGGAGAAGGAGGTGGGAGGTGGTTTGCTTGGGATGGGGTTGGTTGGTTGGTGGGTTGGTCGGTTGGTTGGTTGCTTGGTTGGTACGACCACAATCTGTGGCTACCTACCAAACTCTATCTATATAAAGCTGACTTCCAGAATCTCTCCGGTCAGATCTTGGAGTTGGGACCATCTCCTGACCATCCATCTATGGAATAGTAAAATAGTGACATATATATATATATACATACATTATAGATAGTACATTTACAATCATTTACATACATTTACCCCATTTATGACCCTAACCCAGACACTCCCTGTATTGCATATTTACCTACATCCGCCACACAATGTATGTAAATAGCATGGAGTTTTTGGGTAATGCCTAGGACATCCCCACGCTACTAGGGGCTCCTAGCCCTACTACTAGTAACAAGAAGCTACTAGGAACAAGTGCATCGCTTCTAGTAACAAGTGCCTTACTACTAGGAGCAAGAGGACGCTGCTAGGAGCTCCCCAAACGACTGGAGTCTTCACGTCGCCGCAGCTCGGTCCAGGTGCAGTTCGCGCGGGACGTGGCGCCCAAGCGGAAGCGTTCGCGCTCCCGGAGGCGCTCCAGCTCCAGCCGGTGACATGGTCAAAGGATGAAGCAGCTGAACCTAATAGCAATGGCTCTCCAACCCTAGCGATGGCCATGAAGCAGTATGAAGCAGTTGTTGTTGGTTCACGACGTGTTTTTTGGGAGGTGAATCAGGCATCATCAGGCCAACTTCCTGTGTGGATGGCGGTTTGTGGTTGGTGTGGTGTTTATCTTGACTTTACATAGCTCTTTGTGACCCCTTCAAGCTTTGAGGGCTCCCTTGTTTTGAGGAAGTATTTAAGGTTTCCTACCGGAATGGCGAATCCAATGAAGTCAGGTTGCTTTCGAGCGAGATGGTCGCATTGACTATTTGCAGAGAGGATTGCAGGATTATTGTTTCTCCACATCCCCTGATCAGCCAAGGTGACAGCTCGGAGTATGATGGGCAGAGGAAAAAGGATCTGCCAGACTCACCGTGTCACCGGCCGAGGATTTTTCCGGAGCATATGATAGAACAGGAATCTCCTTTGAAGGATGTAGTGAAGAGTATTTGGATCTACTATAGTGACTATTAAATTATATAGTAGTATTTGGCGCAATTATTTGGCGCGATTTGAGGGTCTCACAAAACCGATCGTTTCTCATCTTTTCCCACCTTGGTGCGGATTCCTATCTCTTCCTTCTGAACATTTTGTTTGGGGTTTTGTAACGAGCCAGAGGGCCATGGGCAGCCCAATCACTTGCACATGACACCAACGATCACCAACGCAGACGATGAACGAATCAATTACACATACCCCACAGCCACCCGAGCACCTGTTTTCTAGGAACGCAGCTTAACACCAATTCGGTACGATGCTCGTGTGGTTTGGGTTTCCAAGTGTGCTGGCACACCCCTTATACGAAGGACGCCTTAAGGCCTTGGATCCGCCATCTCGTACCCCACGATCTCCAGAGATGCCCACCGACATCCGGAAGCATTCTAACTACCCCAGCCGAGTGATTCGCTCAGATGCCGGAGCTGAAGGGGGTTCAGGTGAGCTTCGAGTACAATCCCAGGTGAGGACTCGACGTCCGAGAGCCGAAATGCACTTGGCCATGGACACCACGGTTGTTCTTTCATGTTCTTTCTTCTGGAGTTTTCTTTGATTATCAAACACCAGGATATATTCCAGGATATATTGGGTGGATCAGTTCATGTTGGTTCAGGAGTTGTGAGATGTTGTGAGTGACTTTGAGAACTGAAAGAGCTCAATTGGGAAACCCAAAAGGTTTCAAAGGTATCTGAATGCGCAACTAAAAAGGGCTGGAAAATTCTACACGATGTCATTCAACGGCTGATTGCGATAAGGGTCTTGGCTGATAGGCCCTGATAGGCTGCCGAAGAGGGTCACCTGCCAGCGCCACCCACTGCACACCCACTTCGCATGCCCAAGCTTCCCTTGCCAGCTGAAGGAATTCGATGCCAGGAATTCCGTTGAAGGAAGAAATCCCGAAGGAAGAATTCCATCGGCATTTCCGACATCACTGGAGTTCCAGGTTTTGCTTGGGTGTCTCCATAAGTTCACTACCCCGATTTGCCAATTCTAGCTTCACCCAGCTTGTCATCCGGCTGTTCAACCGAGCTCCCCTCCCCAGTGTCCCCTCACTCTCTGCGTGGCTCGGCTCCTCGTCTCGTGCAGTGGGGGCCGTGGACCCCGATCCGACTCGGTGCAGCTGCTCCTGCGGTGGTTGGCCACTGATAGGCGGAAGATCGTGGGAGTCGGAGATCGGAGAGGGCGATCCAACATCCAACCGGTGGGAGAGATCGTGTGTCCAAAGCTGAAAGGATAGATTGAACAGGTAATGAGTATGATGGAAATCGATGGAAGGACACGAGACTGCATGCTTATTGGGCAGAGAAGCAGGTAGGGTTCACAAGTTCAGAGACTCAGGAATACGTCTACATAAGCAAACCGAAACATCTGGGAGGATCTCATGATTGATGCGCTCCTCTACCCGCCTCTACCGTTGGTCCGGAGCATCTAACATACGGAACATGTATTCAATGAACACGTGTTAACATGTAAGTTATATAGTAATATATTATATAGTTATTTCAGTGTTGAGGACATTGGTTCGCCCCCATGCTAACTTGGGGTGATAGTTGGTGACTAGCCAGCCCGGTCGCGCCCAATGGAAGCTCAGTAACCAACATGAATAATCAAGGACATACTGTGCGTCGCACAAATTTCTGCTTGCACATGCTACTCACAAGCCACTCAGCTTTCTGTCTTTCCTACTGATCCGTTTTTGTGGCAAGATCCATTCTCGCCTTTGAAAGCCTTTCATCTCGAACCCCTTCCTTCAATCCATATGGGCCCAAGCAGCCATGCAAGTCCTGGTGTTTCATCGGCAACCGCTTCTCCAGGTGTTGGTTGTTGAAGAGAGCCCAGATCCCTCCGAAAGAAACGAAGCCCTGAGAGCATTTATGGTGTGCGGACTGCTCGAGCCGACCCGAAAAAATGGCACGGCTTCGAGCCGAGCCAAGAGGGCCAGGCAGCACCAGGGAGGGGGCCAGGGAGGGCTGACGGAGAAGTTCCTTTGAGAGTGTTCTGAATTCTTAGGCTTCCTTCGGTGGCGCTTGGTATTTCCAACAACGCGAGGGAGCCTTCAAGATATAGTTGGGTGATACAGTCATTGGTTCAGAAAGCAGGTATTGGTTGCACAATGGGTATTGAGAATCAGAGTTTCCACAACAATGGTGCTTGGCGATTGGTGGTGGATGGTGGACATACATCAATGGTGGACATACATCAATTACATACATTTGTGGTGCTTCAGTGTTGGCCATTCCACAGATCTCAGTCCATGCATTTACGTCAGCAGCCATGAAAAGAACCCATGTTTGTTTTGGTTGGGAAACGATTCTGTTCGTCATATTTCAACTAGATCAGAATGCCTTACCAACCTTTGCCACTCTGGGTCGAGCCAGTCACTGTCCTAGCATCAGGTCAGAAATAAGGAACCGTATCCAGAAAATGTTGCTTTGACGTGAGACCTCACATTCAAGCCACCCACACCTCTTCCGGAAGTGGAAGCTTCTAGACTAAGCTTCTGCCGCGACATGGCTGTTAGGTCCTGGATCTACAGAGTTTCCAAACGGCCCAGTGACCATCTGCAACCCCTCGATTTTGCAACGATGGGTCCGTGAACTACCAGAAGGGTCCTATCAGCACCAGTCTTTCAGCATTTCCGCGTGTCCGTGGCACCCGGCTGAACCGCCCTACATGGACAGGCACTCGAGTCAGACGGTTGGCAAAGGGGGTGACTGAGAGGGAATCCGTGAGAGGGGATTGCGGCAAGTCAGGAAAATTCTCCTCCGGGACTTACGATGTCCACCATACCAGTAACAGGGAAGTCGTGGGCGTTTCGGGGCTCCTTCACTCATGTTTGAGCACTTTCCTGTGTGAAGTGAAGGGACTTGTTTCCTGTTCGTATTGCTGGTTGAATGATGCTATAAACACCCCACACTTTTGTGTGCAACTGTCGTGTACATATGATGCCAAAGATCTCAAGCGAGAGAGAAGGTAATTCATAGGCCATAGGCTTCAATTGGAGGATGCAAAGTCAGGGGACCAGGAACACGACCATTGGGCTTGGCACAGGCGCAGATGGCATCGCGAGCATGGCGAGCGCCAGTCCAGCTGCTCGAAGCGCACAAGTGGGCGTTGAACGTCAGTCACACCTGTTAAGGTGGCCATATCATGAAGAGACACATAATCAACTACACAATGATCATTGTTTCTTCTTAAGATCTCTCAAGCACAACCATAACAAGACAGATAAGATATCAGATCCGGCCTCAATGGCTTGAACCAAGCTTTTGACAAAAACGAAAAGGTTATAAGTTATAAGTACAATTTCATCCAGTTTTCTCCTTCGGTATCAACTTCCGACACGTTGTTCTGAACTTCCGCCTCCACGAAGTGGAGCGGCTGATGTTGAGCCAGACACTCCATGAGACTGCCATGTATGCCTACATTGACTCCCCAAACCGCCCCAGGGTTTGGCAAATATGGCATACATGGAGTGTCTGGGTAAGCCGAACAGGCCTTGTCGAAGCAAACTGTTTCCCTCAGATGTCATGCTTGTCAAAGCTGCCAAACGAACGGAGACTTTGCTTTATTCGACCTGAAAGGGGGGTACGGCGTGCAGTGGGTGAGTTGACACGGCCCAATCCTGGGCGTCCCATATTCTCGTGGTGTGCTCGTGTACTGTAGGAAAGAGACCATATATATGGAGGTGGAACATGTCTCCAGATCTTCCAATTCCATGTTGGCGAGTCGGAGTGTAGAAATTGCTGAAACCGTCGAAACCGCTGAAACCGCTCGTGGGCATGCAGCCACCAGCCAGGAGTTGTTGGTGCTGCGGGTGAATCAGTTGGATGCCAGGAGATCCCACGGTTGCACGCGCGGGTGGATTTGTCAAGACTTTTTTGGGAGGACCAGACACTGTTTGCACGGAAGGAATACCGTAGATCTGCCTACCTTGGCAACTTGGGGTGGATTCATGAGTTGTAATTAGACAACTTTTAAACATATGGAGTTGGGAATAGGATGAGCATCGACCCCGAATGAAGAACAGGAGGGCTTGGTGACGAGTGTTGCCATGCCTCATGTTCAGAGGCAAAATGAGGCGCATGCCAGCTTCCTTATTGGCACATCATCATGTTGTGCCATGGTCATCGCAGAATGCTGCAATTCTTGAAATTCTTAACTTATCCACATGTGATCTCTCCATGCCACTATATACTTGTACTGTACCAGACTTGAAACTCGCCGCCTAAGACGTAACATTGCTATCTCTTTTCAGCTGTACATGTCACCAGCTAAAGCAGGTAGAACCTCTGACCTTGCATCCTCAACCGCCGAGCTTTATCAGGCGATTGGATGGAGAGATTACCTCTATCCTCAGGTGGAGAAGACTTTGTTTGTTTTTTCTGCGGGTCAAAACGGAGCTTGGAAAGAAAATGGTGATGAGTCGAAGCCATAGCCCCCGAATCATCATTTGGCTTGCTCTGGTGGTGATGAGATGTGGTGGGGTACTGGTGCTTTGGTGCACTTGGGAACTTACTTTCAATCGGCTCACTGACTGCGGAGTTGACTTGGTGAAAGAAGGAGCAAGATAGTTGTCGGGAGTTGAACCCTCTTCTTGGTTTTTGAGGCTTGGAAACTGGAGCATTCCGTCCGTCAACTTGGTGGATACATTGTCAAGACAGAACTGTCTTTGCTATGTTAGTTTCAGAATGTTTGGGGAAGCATTTTCTCATCTTATCCTTAGAAGCCTTGGATTTCGTCCGTTCCCGGAAGGCAGCAGCTGCTTGATGCAATTCTTACAGATCCATGGCCCACCTGTCTCGTTTGGAGCTTCAAGGACCCGCCACTGGGAGGATCAGATGTTTGCCTGATAGCTTGTGACCCAAATCCATGGGACAATGGTCGTAGAATAGTACAATCCATTGAAAGAACTGGTCACGTGTGGTTCCAGATTCGTGGAGAGCGGGTGAAGACGAACATTGCTACATTTGGCCAAGATCACTACAACCTTTCAGCTCTAAGAAGCGTTCTGAGTTCGCTGAGTCATTACGGATGGCATCTAAACTTCACTATAGGGTTCAATCTTGTTCAATTGCTTTTGCAGATTGAACGACACTTTGACTCAACATCTAAGTGGATCGGGGGAACAACTTGTTGGTAGACCCCCTTGCCCCCTTTCTTGAACCGTTTGGACCGTCACCCCTGGAATCCTTCGTGGCTTTTCTTCCTCGCTGTCGAGGGCGCGCGTCGCACGCCGTGCGTAACGTCGCCAGGCCGCTGGAACGCTTCGCACCGGAGGTGGACGCAGCGCTGCAAGGGATCTTGTGGAGGTGACGAAACGCCAGGAAACGCCGATCCGACAGAGATTCTTTCGAGAAGCGGCCAACGTAAAGGCCGTAATTCAAGGGGATGGAGCTGCAGTTGTTCTGGATTGCCTGTTCTTATCTTTTCTCCTTTTTTGGGGTGTTCAGTGGAAGCAGACCCTTAGATGCTTCAGAGAGCCCTGTGGCTCTACTTTTGGGGAGGGATCCACGAAAAGGGCGGTCTCAGCATTTTGAGAGACATTCATGTGGCTGTGAGTTTGTGCGGTCGTGACAGGAATGCATGGACGAACCACAGAGGCACTTTTTGAAAGCCCTGAACATAGCGTGTTAAGTTGGTGTTATTTTGTTTTATGCCTTGGACAGTGGGGGCATAGGCATAGGTGAAGATTGCCTAGGTCTGACCTCTTGCTGGTTGAAGGCCTAATTTGTTCTTTTGAGCCATCTACTTCCGTTGAGAATTGTGTGAGTTCAGTCCAGAAGCCGTGAGTTCTTTATCACGACAAAGCGCGTGCGTCCCGTCAGGTACACCATCTGGATTGACGAGCCCACGTGGGGTGCCAAGTGGTGAAGAACGAACCTCTGTGGCACAGGGAGTTTGTCACCAGGTTCGGGCCAAGGATGAGAGCCTGCAATTGAACATTGAAATATATAGACAAGTGCGGACCAAGGGCAAAGATCAAGGTATTCAGTTCAGCACGAGAAGGTTTTCTGCACCATTTAAAGAGAGACCCCAGACGAGGTACGAGGTAGACTTATAGCAAATTAACGAGGCGGTTTAACTTTAACTTGTCTCAGAAACACAAAGTGGAGTCTTGTTGGTGAGTTCGCATGTGAGTTTCGAGGCCAATTAATTAGGTTGGAGGCCATCGCTAGTAGGTTGGAGGCCATCGCTATTGAATTGGGTTCTCGGGCTGCGCTTGCTCACCAAAGCCCACCTTCTCTCACCACACATGTAGTGAACATGGGAAAACACTTTTCGGGCGCCAAAAAGTGTGGTTTCTAGGCAAAGGGCTGACCAACTCACATTGTGAGACCTGAATAGTCATTTTCTGACGAGCTTCTAGACAGGCTGAAGTCGAGCTTAAGTCTTAAGTCTGCGCACAAGCGCCAGGAGTGACGTTGCTTGGCTCGACATCAGCCATCGATCACTCCGACCGTGTTTTTGGGGGAACGCGACCGAGCCATCACCAACCCACAGCGACGGGGCGGCCACACTGGCTGACAGCATGCTCATACGCGCAGCCTAAGCTGGTGTGACACTAGCTGAGCAAGGGTCAAAACCCACCTAATTGTGACATGAAAGAGCCTTGTCATAAGGCTTTCTCGCGTAAGCCAAAGACTGAGTCGCGTAAGCTCGCGTAAGCAGATTTTTCAGATCACATGTTGCGTAAGCATAGTCGAGAAAGTTGAAAACCATGTTTGGAATAGCTGTAGCCTTGATCAGGGAGATGTTGAGTTGCAGTCAAATGCATTTGTTCAAGAGCCAATCTGTTGTTTATTTGCTGGTGGGCCTATCAAGATGCACTGGCCAAAGGTTCACTGGCCAAAGGGCAAGAGAGCATGGCCTATCAACCATCAATGCAACTTTTAGAGAGATGCACGATAATCCGCGTAAGCTGCGCGTAAGCTCCGCGTAAGCTCCGCGTAAGCTCCGCGTAAGCCTACTTTGTGTTTGTGCCCACAATGCCTCCGAAAGCAAAGCGTTTCTCTGAACTGCAATGGCGACAAAGACAGCGCGTCCTGCAAACTATTTCTGAAACCTTCCAAGCGCATTGCCCGTCAGTATCAGAAGCTGAAGCTCTTTTACATGGAATAGTTCGAAGCTCTTTTACATGTGCGAAGAGAAGACGGAAGATGACCCAGCAGCGCACCCCACAGCCTGGTGATCAAGAACTTGATGCCTCTGATTCGTCTTCTTCCTCATCTTCTGCCGACTCGTCTGACAGTTCTTGAGCATAACTTCTGCTTGGAAAACAATTTGCGCGTAAGCTGCCGCTGTGGTGTGGTTAAAGTTGATGTTTCGCGTAAGAGCGCGTAAGCTTCAAATAAGTCCCTTTCCCACGCGTAAGATAAAACCTGGGGCGCGTAAGCATTGCGTGAGTGCATGCGTAAGCAAATCCTTACGACATAGGCCAATTACACGACCTTTTGACCGCCGCTCAGCTGCCTTTCTTGCCTTTCGAAGGAGGCAGTCACTCCGATTGTGCTGGTGCCCATGCTTCAGAAAGGAGATGGAAGGAGCAACTCAAATGCTCATGACAGGCAAAAAGCCGAGTCGCAGTCGTAGGCTGAATCACTCGCGACCGCGACCTCTCCAACCCGTCCGGTCGAAGCCTTTGAGCGGGGAACGACCGGCGGTTCTCGGCCGTTGCTTTGGCTGTTTGGGCCTCAGGCCTGGAGGGCGTCTCCAGAACTTGCGCTACGCGAGGGCGGGAGGCACGGTGCCTTCCGTGGAGAGGAGATAGAAAGGAGCCACACCACTGGGCAGATCCATAATATTCACATGTCAAGGCATGGGGCGTGGGCCACTTGACACATCTACATCAAATGAGAGTCTTAGAAGGTGGTCGACAGCCAAAAGTAAAAGGCCGCGAGTTAAGGTTTCTACACGAATCAAAGCGATAGCAGATGAAGATCCCTGCTCAGCTAATTGACTCCATTGCAAGGATCGATGTTCATTTGCAGGAACAGAGTTGGAGCTAAATGAGTGGCACAACTCTCCTTGGGCATCACGTGGAGCTGTATTTACGGTGTCTTGACAGGTTGTGGTTGATCAAGAAAGTAAGAGTAGGGAGATGCTGTAGGGAGCCTCAATCGGTCTTTTTAAGATGTTTTCAAGTGTGTCCCAAAAGGTGGACTGTTGGGTTCTGGGATGTCAACCAGGCTCCGAAGGGTGTGGACAATGAGTCTTATGAGTCTATGAGCTATGCATAGCTATGCTATCAAGATCTATCAAGCTATGAGTCGATTCCGAAACGCTTGGACCAGGCGCTCAGGCTCCCCCAGTCCGACTGGTGTCACCCGACTCCGATTGGGCGCCAGGTGAGGGGAAGCCCTTGAGCAAGCTTCAGAAGCTGAGCTTCCTCATGCTTTGGGCCTCTTGACGAACGAAGCGACGCTGTTTTGGAGGGCTTGTCTTTGGTCGGGTGGGTTGCTTTCATGAGTTGGTTGGTTTCCATGAATTGCCAACCGGGCCTGTCCGGGTTTGTGTTGCCCTCAAAAGACTGGTTGTTTGGGGCTACTAGGTTGGAGGCCATCGCTATTGGGTTGGAGGGCATAGCTATTTGGTTGGAGGCCCTGCAGGAAACAGTTTCGCAACGGATCAGCGGGCTGTGCAGGTCTTGTTGCCCTGGCTTGGCAAACGCAGCTATGAGCTGCTGCAACGCCTGGAGGCGTGTCTTGGACATGAACCAACAATAATCAGCTGCTGGACAATAGGTGCATCTTGAGCCTCCCTGCAACCCCAGAATATGGATAGTTTTGTATGTGAAAATAATTTAAGAGTATTTTATTTAATATACTTTTAATGTAGCGATGCCCTTTGCTCCTAGTAGCCTCTTGTTCCTAGTAGTATGG